TAGAATCAACCTTGACAACCTGCTGCAAGGTCTGCCCTAAAGCCACCGGTGGCCAGGTGGCTGGCCCCACCCATCAGGCCTTGAGAGTGGTGAGGGGAGAAAGGACACACAGCTGCATAGCCACAAAAATGCAAACTCCCTCCTTGCCCAAACTTCTGCCCTCCCAGCCCACCCCGGATTGATGGCACCGAGGGGACAGATTCCCTCTAGGGAAGGAGCCCAAACCCGGGCAAGGAGGAGACGGCCCCAGGGTTGGCTTTATCTATATCCGGGACAAAGTGGCACCAAGGGAGGAGGCATCTGAGGGTGGATTTTAAAGGTGTTTAATAACAGTAACCCCAAGCTCTTTGCAGCAGCTCCCAAAGGTGATCAGTATCAGCTGGGAGGCCTCAGCTGGTGTCTGGGGTCCAGGTGTGGGCACTGCAGGTTAGGCTAAATTGGAGAGAGTCCAGGGATCAAAGGTCTAGAGAACCTGCCCTAGGGGGAGAGGTTAAAAAAACTGGGGATGTTTAGTCTGGGGAAACGCTGACTGAGCAGGGATCTGAGAGCAGCCATCAGCTACATTAAGGCTTGTTACGGAGAGGATGGGGATCAGCTGTTCTCCATGTCCGCTGAAGGCAGGAGGGTTTAATCTGCAGCGAGGGAGATTGAGGTGACGTATTAGGACAAACTTTCTAACTCTCCGGGGAGTGAAGCTCTGGAACAGGTGTCCAAGGGAGGTTGTGGGATCCCCGTCACTGAGGGTTTCTAAGAACAGCTGGACAAACTCCTGTCAATGCTGGGCTAGGGCTACTTGGTCTCATGCGATGACCTCCCAAGATCCCTTCCGGCAGGACATGGCTTTGATTAACACTGTTTTACAGCTGGGGAAACTGAGGCACGGACTGACTGGCCCGAGGTCACCCCGCGCAGGCCAAGAGGGCAGAGGTGACCGAGGCTAGTCTAGTGCTGTATCCACCAGGCAACGTGGCCTTCGGGCACCTAAACACCTTTACCCAGCCGGCCCTTGGAGCGTGGGGAGGAGAAAGGAGATAGCAGGGCCCAGTTTGATCTTAGCCGCCCCAGTGCTTGCTAGTTAAAAGGGGGCACAGAGTGGAGATGCCTGAGGGGGGCCAGGGGAGCATGAGAAGGGGATGGTGGTACGGCCGGCCCAGGGGCTGCTTGAATTAGGCTTGCTGCGGCTGGGGATGGGCAGGCAGATGGTAGGTGCCTAGCAGAAGCCACCGCCGCAGCCCGGAGGCTAATTCTTCGGCCAGCTGCGGGACAATGGAGCGCATTGCCCAGCACAAAGCTGGCTGGGGCCAGGGAGGTGACAACCAAGCGAGCTTAGGAACTCCCCCCTCCCCCCCGGCTCTCCCCAAATAAAAACATCTCCTTGCAACCGGGAGCTGGACTAAACCGAGCTGCAACTGCTCGGGAGCTGGGCTCTGATTTCCACGCCCAGGGGCTCCTGGAGCGCAGGGGACTATGGGTCCTGCAGCCCTCTAACGTTGCCGGGGTGCGGGGCCGGCACCTGTGAAATAAACGCCCCCCGCCAAAAACTTCCAGCCTGGTGGAGTTTGCAGCCTAGGCCGCTAGGGCAGGGCCCCTCTGGCTTTCTCTGCTGCTCAGGCCCCGGGAGGGGGGAGCAATGTTGAGATTTTTTTTTTTTTAACAGCTGTTGCTGCATTAAAACAACCCCAAACCCGCCTGGAAGGGCAGCTTTTCCCTGGGACTTTAAAGGGAAAGTGGCCCGGGGAGGGCTTGTGCTTAAGCAATAAGGCAGGTGCTGCGGATTAGCATACAGCTGACGCATCCCCACTGCTGGTACAGGCCACCCCTTCTGCAGAGCTCCACAAAGCTGGGCCGGAGGGCCTGAGACCAAGGAAATGCTGGAGGGGCTAAAGAAGAAGGGAGGGGAGGGCTAAGGGGTTAAGCTGGCTCCCCCCATTCCCCACGCCTCCCAGGGTCCTATAAAGGCCAGCACGTCAGACGCCACAAAGACTAAGTTGGGCTGCAGTTCATAGATGGTGTGTGGCTTGTGTCATGGCAGGAGTGGGGCTGATTAAACAGGAGGGTTGAGGGTTGGGGAGCGGGCAGATCCTGGGCTCCCTCCCTGCATGCTGCAAACCGGTTCCAGTGTAAACTAGTTGCGGTTCACACCTGGCTCACATAACCGGGAGGGGAGCTGTTTCTTTTCCAAGAGCTTTGCGGCCGTCCATTTCTAATAAGGATGAGATTGCATGGTGCTGGGCGAACGCTCGCCGGGTGGGGCGGTGTCCTTACCCCAGCTGTTTAGATGGGGAAACTGAGGCATGGAGCTGACGTGTGACTCACTTGCGTCAACAAGGGAAGCCAGTTGCAGAGCTGGGAATAGAATCCAGGAGTCCTGACTCTTAGCGTGCCCTGCTCTAAGCACTAGGCCCCACTCTGATCCTAGAGCCAGAAATAGAACCCAGGATTCCTGCCTCCCAGTCGCCCAGCTGTTCCCAACACCCTGTGCTTCTGTTCCCTGTGCGTAAACCAGGGCTAATAATGCACACAGGGGTGATGTTAAGGTAAATTAATTAGTGTTTGGAAAGACCCAGAAAAAAAGCCCAGGAGGAAATGAATAATTCTGTATTCAGGGCAGGTTTAGGATCAAGCACCATAAATATGGGGGCCACATGCTGAATGGTAAGGATCAAAAGAACTACTTTCCAGCTGCCCGTTCAGTGAGCCCTGTCCATCCAGTGCACTGAATGGGTGTGGGCGGGGAGGGAACAGCATGAGATCATTTAAGTAAAGCCTTTAGCATAATGCAGATCTCCAAGGGTATGAATTAAGGTTGTTCGGACATCCTTAACTCCAGCATGTCCTAATTTTGGAGGACCTTGGCATTCTTTTAACATAGATTATTTTGGATGCAATAACAGAGATAATGACAGGCGTGTGTTGTACTCATTCTGATGCCATTTAGGAACTCACTGGTGGCACTGTGCTGCATGAGGAGACGCTGGCAGGAATTCAACTGGCTATTTCCCTGATCCACCCCCAGGACCCTCCTAAGATCTAAGGGAGGCATTACAAAATACAGGTGAGGACAGGATTTTTGCGGGGGGCGGGGAGGACCTGGGGAGATTATTTTTTACCAGATATGGGCTGGAAAGTGATAAAATGAGGCTTAAAAAATATCGCTGGGAGGACTGAGAACAGAGCCGAGGCTTCCTCGTTCCCAGGGGCAGAACATTTTCCAAAGTGGCTGGTGGTTTTGGGTGCCCGAATTATTAATTATTATTATTTTATTACAGTGCCTAGGAGCCCCAGTCAGGAACCAGGCTCCCATTGTGCCAGGCGCTGTCCATTTTTATTGCTATCAGGTGTATTACAGTAACTCCCAGGTGCCCCAGTCAGGGACCAGGCCCGCATTGTGTACATTTTTATTGCCTGATCTTTCAGATGCGCTGGCCACACTCCCAGTTCCTGCTGATGTCCACTGGGGCTGTGGGTACTTGGCACCTCTGATAGGTCTTTGGATTCATAAGGAATTGGGGAAGGGGAGAATAGGATGGACAATGTTCTAATACCATTATATGAAGCAACCCTGCGGCTTTGTCTGGATCCTGTACCACTCCCAAAGGAGAGCACAGAACTCATGTGGGTTCAGAGAGGGCCACCGGGAATGATCAGGGGCCTGGAAAAACTCCTACAAAGGGAGATTGAAAAAGACCCAGGATTGTACCTGTAAAAAGGAGCTGCGAAGAGGAGACATGATAAATCTCTATCCCACAGGGCCTGGGAGAGAGAGAACGGAAATCCGGAACCTCTGCACCCTCATCTCATCACACAAGGACAAGGAGACAGGTGCTGAAATTGAAAAAGTGGGGGGATTCAAAACCAGGAACGGGAAATGGCTTTTTCACACAAGGTGCATTAGCCTGTGGAAATCCCGGCCACTGGAAGGTGCAGAGGCCAAGAATGTAAGAGTCAAAAAAGGGATGAATCATTTCTGTGGATAACAAGAATAGTCAGGGTCCTAATAGTTGATGCTGGGGCCCCCCGCAGCCAACAAGAACATGAGAACGGCCAGACTGGGTCAGCCCAATGGTCCGTCGGGCTCAGTATCCTGTCTTCTGACAGGGGAGGTTCCTCCTTTCCCTGCAGCATGGGCTGCAGATTTCCCAGGCTGGCCTCATCTAATTAATTCCCTGCCATTGATAGCACCTGGCTCTCTCCTGGTCTCTGCCTAAAGTCATTGGGCTCGATAAAGGGGGATGCAGGTGAAATGGAGGGGAGCTCAGCAGGAGGCCAGACTAGGTGAACTAAGGGTCCCCCGGCCTTAGGCTCTCTGAGATGCTAGCACCAATCTTTGCAGAGAGATCCAGCCTCCTGCCCCAGGATTTCAGCCCCTTTCTAACTCAGTCAGCTTGATTATCCCACAGCTGCCATGGCGGGGGTCTTACGCCTTTCTTACGCCTGTTGCTCGCCGGGGAGGCCTGATACCCTGCCAGATGGGCCTCTTCTCTGATCCAGCCTGGCCATTCCAGTTCAGGGTGTCACCAGTTGGGTGCCCCATAACCCGAGCACCCAGCTTTCAGCCTCTGCCTCTCTTCCCACCTGGCCCAGCCGCCCCTGGAGGTTGCTCCGCGGCCCAAGCAGGCCTGCCAAAGGGCCAGGCCAGTGGCCCAGACCCGTGGGCCCTGGGGCAGAGGCATCTCCTGCCAGTGAGGTGCTCTGCCGCCCTGCCCAGTAGGTACCAACCCGGGGGAGGGTCAGGCGTGGGGCTGGAGGGAAAGTCCCAGAACCCACGAGCCGGAGAGGCCGCAGGGGCCCCGGGCCAGCCCGGCTGCTGGGGGTGGGCTCCGCCCCAGTCGCTCGCTCGCTCGCTCCGCTGTGGGGGGGGGGTTGCCCCTGCCGGTGGGAAGGGGAGGGGGAGCGAAGGGGGCGGGTGCTGCCGGGCCAGGCAACCCGACACCAGGCAGGGCCGGGGTTTAAAAGAGCCGGAGGCGGCAGGCGGCCGCTTCGTTCTCCGTGCGCTCCGCTCTGCCTTCCCCGCAGCCTCGGCGGGCTCCTCCAGCGTCCCTCCGCCGGCTCTGGGCTCCGCCGGGCGGGCACCCGCGACCCCCGCCTCCCGCGACCCCCACCTCCCGCGGCCCCCACCTCCCGCGGCCTGCTCCAGCGCGCACCGAGCCCTGCCCAGGGCGCACCGGCTCCCGGCGCGCTCCCCCTTGGACTAAGCTGCGGCTTCAGGGACTTCGCCCCCCAGGGCCACCCGCCTCCTCGCCCCATGGCGACCCTGCTCCTCGCCGGCTTCCTGGCCCTGCTCTGCGCACAGCTGGTGAGTGACTCCGGGCGCAGGGGGACCTCCCCGGGGGGCAGCGCGCAGGGCAGGGGCGGGCGGGATCTCCCCAAGGGGGCAGCCGCGCAGGGCAGGGGCAGTATGGGGGGGGCGCGGGATCTCCCCAAGGGGGCAGCCGCGCAGGGCAGGGGCAGTATGGGGGGGGGCGCGGGATCTCCCCAAGGGGGCAGCCGCGCAGGGCAGGGGCAGTATGGGGGGGGGGCGCGGGATCTCCCCAAGGGGGCAGCCGCGCAGGGCAGGGGCAGTATGGGGGGGGGGCGCGGGATCTCCCCAAGGGGGCAGCCGCGCAGGGCAGGGGCAGTATGGGGGGGGGCGCGGGATCTCCCCAAGGGGCCCGCGGGCAGGGCAGTATGGGGTGGGGGCGGGATCTCCCAAGGGGCAGCAGGGCAGGGGCAGTATGGGGGGGGCGCGGGATCTCCCCAAGGGGCACAGGGGGGGGGCAGCCGCGCAGGGCAGGGGCAGTATGGGGGGGCGGGGATCTCCCCAAGTCCCCCAAGGGGGCCCGCAGGGCAGGGGCGGTGGGGGGCGGGTGTCGGTCGGTTGCGCGCAGGGGCACAAGGAGTGGGGACCTGAACAGTTCGAAGGGGGGGGGAGGGGGCTGTGCACGCCATGGGGTGGGGGTGACGACCGTGATCTCTCCAAGGGGTTTGCACCGGGGGGCGGGGGCGGTGACCGCTCCAAGGGGGGCTGCGCGCTGGGCAGGAGGTGGGGAGTTGAGTGTGGGGGGGAGTCGGCTCCAAGGGGAACACGTCGCGGGCGGGGGAGGAATCGGGACCTTTCTCCGAGAGCTCCCTGCCCTGCCGGGCGCGGACACAGGGACCTCTCCAAGGAGGGGGGGGGCGGTGCGCGCTGGGGCGGGGAACCGGGACCTCTCCAAGGGGGGGGGGCGGGGAACCGGGACCTCTCCAAGCGGGGAGGGGGGCGGCTGCGCGCTGGGGCGGGGAACCGGGACCTCTCCAAGGAGGGGGGGGCGGCTGCGCGCTGGGGCGGGGAACCGGGACCTCTCCAAGGGGGGGGGGGGGCGGCTGCGCGCTGGGGCGGGGAACCGGGACCTCTCCAAGGGGGGAGGGGGGCGGCTGCGCGCTGGGGCGGGGAACCGGGACCTCTCCAAGGAGGGGGGGGGGGCGGCTGGCGCGCGGGACGGGACCTCAAGGAGGGGGGCGGCGGGGAACCGGGACCTCTCCAAGGGGGGGGGGGCTGCGCGCTGGGGCGGGGAACCGGGATCTCTCCGGGGGGGCGCGCTTGTGGGGGGGACTTCTCGGTGGGGGGTGAGCGCTTTGCAGTGCCCCGCGCTCCTGGCAGAGCTGGGGGCTCGGGACCTCGCCACCAGCCCCGCGCTCTGACCTGGGGGGATCGGGGAGGGGTCAGGTGACTCGGGCTCACCCCGGGGGTCCCCGCTCGCAGGGAGGGCTGGCAGGACCCCAGAAGGGTTCAGGCACTGTGGAGGGTCTGGGGAAAAGGGGGTCCCTCTTGCGGGGAGGCCCGGGGCGGGGGCTGTATCCTGGGACGTGTGAGGTGGCGGCGGCGGGGGGGTTGCCCAGGGGCCACCCCTCTCTGGCGGGGAGGGGGGACCCTTGTCGCGGGGTGGGGAGTTCATGAAGGGAACATCGGGGGGGAGGGGGCGGTTCCAGGCTGCGGGGGGGGGGAGATAAACCATGCCCTGGGGGCAGTGGGGGTACAGGACCCAGAGGGCTGGGTGTCCCGCGGGGGTTGCATAGTCCAGGCGGCGGTGGTGCTCCTGGGGGAGGGGGGGTTACATGGTTCCCAGGACACTTTTGCCCTGGGGGGGGGGGCAGTGGCAGGGTTGGAGTGGGGGGAGTTTGGCCCTGGGGAAAAGGTGGAAATTTCTCTGGAGAGGGGAGATGAGCCCTGGGCTGTGAGAGGCAACTTGTGTGTGGGGAGGGAGGGAAGGGGGGGGCAGGGTCTATGCCCTGGGAGGCAAAGGCTGTGAGTTGGGGAGGGGGAGCTGCAAACTATGGAGGGGAGGCCAGGGGGCTTGGAGATGCCATGGGGGGATTTCGCCCCATGGAGGGACAAGGGTCTTGGGGGCACAGTCTCTGAGCTGGGAGGATCTCTGGGTGGATGGGACAGTGGGCTGTGGGGGACTGTGGGCTGGGGGATCTTTGGGGGAGGGGGCAGTGTGCTCAGGGGGCACGGGCTGGGGGATCTTTGGGGGAGCTGTGGGGTGGAGGCTGCATGCCGGAGGGTTGGGCTGCGGGGTGAGGATCCATGCTGGGAACGCAGGCTGTGGGGTGGGGGGATCTCTGGGGTGGGAAGCAGTGTGCGGGGAGGATCCAGCTGTGGGGTGGGGGGGATCTGCAGGAGGAGACGGGCGGGGTCCCATGCTAACCCCCCCCCCTCTGTCCCGCAGGCCCAGCCGGCTGGGGTGTTTGAGCTTCAGGTGCACTGGTTCCGCATCAGCGCCCCCAGCCTGTGCCCCGGCACCAGGCCCTGCTGCCTTTTCTTCCGCGTCTGCCTCAAGCACGCCCAGGCTGTCGTGTCCCCCGAGCCCCCCTGCACCTTCGGGGCCGCCCTGAGCGACATGGTCCCTGCCGACCGCAACGCTGTGGCCACCAGCGCACCCATCCGCGTGCCCTTCCACTTCAAGTGGCCGGTGAGAGCCGCCCCGCAGTGCCCTCCCCCCATATTACACCCCTCCCCCCAGTAATACACCCCCATTATACACCCCCTACCCCAGGAATACACCTCCATTCTATACCTCCTCATCCAGGGCCCTTCCCCATAGTACACCCTGTTATAATCCCCTCCCCCTCATAATTCAGTCCCATTAAACGTCCCCTCTCCCCAGTTATTCATCCCCATTCAGCTCCCACCTCTTCCACCCCCTCCTCACCCGCGGCCAACAAGAACATGAGAATGGCCAGACTGGGTCAGCCCAATGGTCCATCGGGCTCAGTATCCTGTCTTCTGACAGCAGCAAGTGCCAGATGTTTAAAGGGAGTGAACACAACCAGGGCAATCATCGAGTGATCCATCCCCCATCGTCCAGTCCCACCTTCTGGCAGTTGGAAGTTCAGGGACCTGGAGCATGGGGTTGCATCCCTGGTCCTTTTGGCCAATAGCCATTGATGGACCTGTCCTCCAGCAACTTACCTAATTTTTTTTTTTAAACTCTCAGACTTCACAACATCCCCTGGCAGGGAGTTCCACAGGTTGACTGTGTGCTGGGTGACGAAGTACTTCCTGTTGTTTGTTTTAAACCTGCTGCCTGTTAGTTTCACAGCGTGACCCCTGGTTCTTGTGTGACATGAAGGGGTGAATAACACTTTCCCTCGTCACTTTCTCCACCCCAGTCATAATGTTATAGCCCTCCGTCATATCCCCCCGCAGGCGTCTCTTTTCCAAGCTGAACCATCCCAGGTTTGAAAATCTCCCCTCGTATGGAAGCTGCTCCATCCCCTTCATCCTTTTTGTTGCCCTTTGCTGACCTTTCCCCATTTCTAATACATCGTTTTTGAGATGGGAGCGACCAGATCTGCACACAGTATTCAGGGTGTGGGCATACCGTGGCTTTATATAGAGGCAACGTGATATTTTCTGTCGTCTTCTCTATCCCTTTCCTAATGGTTCCTAACAGTCTGTGTTCACTTTTCTCACTGCCACTGCACATTGAGGGGATGATTTTGGAGAACTATCCGCAGTGACTCCAAGGTCTCTCTCTTGAGTGGTGACAGCTAATTTAGACCCCCCTCATTGAATATGCATATTGGGGATCATGCTTTCCAACATGCATTACTTTGCATTTATCAACATTGAATTTCATCTGCCATTTTGTCACCCAGTTTTGTGTGGTCCCTTTGTAACTCTTCGCAGTCTGCTCTCGACTTAACTGTCTTGAGTAGTTTTGTATCCTCTTTAAATTTTGCCACCTCACTGTTCATCCCTTTTTCCACGTCATTTATGAATATGTTGAACAGCCCTGGTCCCGGCACCGACCCCTGGAGGACACTTCTATTTACATGTCTCCATTCTGAAAACAATTTATTCCTTCTCTTTGTTTCCAGTCTTTTAACCAGTTACAGACCCGGGAGAGGACCTTCCCTCTTATCTTGTGCTTAAGAGCCTTTGGTGAGGGACCTTGTCAAAGGCTTTGTGAAAGTCCAAGTGCACTAGATCCACTGGATCACCTGTGTTCACATACTTACTGACCCCCTCAAAGAATTCGAATAGATTGGTGAGGCATGATTTCCCGTTACAAAAGCTGTGTTAACTCTTCCCCAATGTAGCGTGTTCTTCTGTGTGTCTGATAAATCTGTTCTTTACTCTAGTTTCAACCAATCTACCTGGTACTGAAGTCAGGCTTACAGGCCTGTAATTGCCAGGATCACCTCTGGAGCCATTTTTTGTTTTTTTAAATCCGTCACATTAGTTTCCCTCTGGTTGTCTGGTACAGACTGATTTAAGTGATAGGTTTTCTACCATGGTTAGGAGTTCTGAAGGAACTCAAATGTGAAACGGCAGAACTCTTGGCTGAATACCACCTGGTCCTGGTGACTTATTACCATTTAATTTATCTATTTGTTCCAAAACCTCCTCTATCACCACCTCCATCTGGGACCGTTCCTCAGATTTGTCACCTAACAATAATGGCTCAGGCGTGGGAATCTCCCTCGCATCCTCTGCAGTGAAGACCGATGCACAGAATTAATTTAGTTTCTCTGCAACGGCCTCATCGTCTTTAAGTGCTCCTTGATCACCTCGATCGTCCGGTGGCCCCAATGACTGTTTATCAGGCTTCCTGCTTCTGATCTACTTAAAAATGTTTGCTGTTTGTTTTTGTGTCCTTAGCTAGTTGCTCTTCAAGTTCTTTCTTGGCCGGCCTGCCTGCCTTATACTTTTACACTTGACTTGCCACAGTTTGTCCCTTTCTATTTTCCTCACTAGAATTTGACTACCAATTTTTAAAGGATGACTTTTTGCCTCCAACCGCCTCTTTTACTCTGCCGTTTAGCTACGAGGGCATTTTTTTGGTCCTCTTGCTTTTTTATTTTATTTGGAGGTATACATTAGGTTTTGAGCCTCTATTATGGTGTTTTTAAATAGTTTCCATGCAGCTTGCAGGCGTTTCACTCTTGTGACTGTTCCTTTTAATTCCTGTTTAACTCATTTCCTCAATTTTGTGTCGTTCTCCTTTTTTTTTTTTTTTGAAGTTAAATGCTACCGTGGCGGATTTTGTTGGTATTTTCCCCTCTACCAGGCTGCTAAATTTAATTACATTGTGGTCACTCTTACCGAGCGGTTCAGCCATATTCACCCTTTGGACCAGATCCTGTGTGCCACCTGGGACTAAATCAAGAATTGCCTCCTCCCTTGTGAGTTCCAGGGATAGCTGCTCCAAGAAGCCGACATTAATGGTGTCTAGAAATCTTATCTCCGCATCCCGCTCTGAGCTGACATGTACCCAGTCAATATGGGGATAGCTGAAGTCCCCCATTATCATTGAGTTTTCTGCCTTTGTAGCCTCTCTAATCTCTGTCACCATCCTGGCCAGGTGATCGGGAGGATGTTCCTACTGCTAGACACTTATTAGTTAAGCCTGGAATTTCTATCCACAGAGTTTCTGAGGTACAGTTTGATTCATTTAAGATTTTTACTTTCTTTGACTTTGGGCTTTCTAGGGCTGTTCCCCCCACCAGCACCACCTGCTTGATCCTTCTGATATATTTTGTACCCTGGTATTATTGTCCCATTGACTATCCTCATTCCACCCCGGTTCCATGATGTCTATTATATTAATATCCTCACTTAATACCAGGCACGCTGGTTCACCCCTCTTCGCATTTACACTTCTAGCATTTGTAGATAAGCACTTGTCCATTTTGTCAATATCCGAAACTCGCCTTCATGTGCTATATTTAAACCGGACTCTTTTACCGCTGACTGCACTTCCCTAGCTCCTATCTGTACGTTACCAGATGTAACTTCTTTCCTAGGACATAGCTCCCTTTTAATAGATCCTCCCCATGAGATGTTTCTGCCCAAACCGGGTGATCCTCCGCACCTGTCGGCTTTCCCCCAGCCCTGAGTGTAAAAACTTCCCTACAACCTTTTACATTGTACATGCCAGCAATTGGGTTCGGTTTTGGTTTGGGTGGAGCCCATCCTTCCTCTCTAGGCGTCTCCTTTCTCGAAAGGTTCCCAGGTTCCCAGTGCTTCATTTGCAATGAAAGAGGCGTCGGGACTCAAGGAATTCTTTTACATTCATAACGGATGTGCCAAGCCCAGAGATGCCGGGGCTGTGAACTGCCAAGCCCACAGGTGCCGGGGCTCAGCCCTGGCAAGCCCTGGCACAAGTTAAGCACTGCCAGTTCCTAATAAACCTAAGTCCCTCCTCCCTACACCATCGTCTCATCCATGCCTTGAGACCCTGCAGTCCTGCCTGTCTGTCTGGTCCTGCGTGTGGAACTGGGAGCATTTCAGGGAATGCTACCATGGAGGTCCTGGACTTCAATCTCTTACCTAGCAGCCTAAATTTGGCCTCCAGGACCTCTCTCCTGTCCTTCCCTATGTCACTGGTACCTACATGTACCATGACCACTGGCTCCTCCCCAGCACTACACACAAGTCTGTGTAGATACCTTGAGAGCTCCATAACCTTCACACCTGGCAGGCAATTCACCGTGCGGTTCTCCCGGTCATCACAAACCCAACTATTAAAACAAACAAAAGGAAGTCAGTTTTTCATACAATGTACAACCTGTGGAACTCCTTGCCAGGGGATGTTGTGAAGGCCAAGACCATAGCAGGGTTCAGAAAAGAACTAGATAAGTTCATGGGGGATAGGTCCGTCAAGGGCTATGAGCCAGGATGGGCAGGGAAGGTGTCCCTAGCTTCTGTTTGCCAGAAGCTGGGAATGAGCAACAGGGTAACTGATGATGACCTGTTCTGTTCATTCCCTCTGGGGCAGTTGATCTTGGCCATTATCGCAAGACTGGATACTGGGCTAGATGGACCTTTGGTCTGACCCAGTATGGCCGTTCTTATGTTACTGTATCCATATTTCTACTGATCGACTCCCCCATCGCTATGACCTATCTCTTCCTAATAACTGGGGCCCCCCCACAGAGGGGAGGGCCTCAGTGTGAGAGGAGACCATGATATCATAGACTATCAGGGTTGAAAGGGACCTCAGGAGGTCATCTAGTCCAACCCCCTGCTCAAAGCAGGACCAATCCCCAATTTTTGCCCTAGATCCCTAAATGGCCCCCTCAAGGATTGAACTCACAACCATGGGTTTAGCAGGCCAATGCTCAAACCACTGAGCTATCCCTCCCCCCCCCCGGAAGGAGGGTCCCAACGATGACGAAGCCTTGGCTGGCATGATTTAGTTGGGGGTTGGTCCTGCTTTGAGCAAGGGATTGAACTAGGTGACCTCCTGAGGTCTCTTCCAACCCTGATCTTCTATGATGGGATTGTTTCCCTCCGCCTCAGCCTGATGATCTCCTTCCCGGAGACTTCTCCCCTCCTCAGCAGCACAGGGGCTGGCTCTCCTGTGTCCCCAAAAGTCTTCTCTCTGTACCCCTCTGTCTCCCTCAGCTCCTCCGGTCTCCAGAGCCCGCACTCGGTCTCTGAGACCCAAGAGCTGCTGGCACCGAATGCCCACGTAAGGCCCCCGGCCCACGCGGCAGGTCACGGCACAAGCTGTGTTCAGTGCTATGAACTGGGGAGCCCCCCACTCTGCTCTGATGCCTGCCTGCGGTATTTTTACTCTAGCAGAGATTTTGGGGAGGGGGAGTGTTCTTGGCCAAGCTTGAGCCTGTTTGTTAGGTGTGTCTGCCTCTCATGCTCTCTCACCAAATTCCCCTGGTCGCAGCTCCTCTGGGGAGCTGGGTTGGTGGCTGCCTGAGTTCGCCCCGCCCCCGCCGTCGAGGGTCCCCAGAGGGATCAGGGCTCAAGAGATGGTGGGCCCGAGCCTCGTGACGGAGCCCTCAGCCTAGCCTAGCCAGCTGCTTGGGTCAGCACAACCCGCCCCACCCAACAGACCCCATGATACTCTTTTATTCATACACCCCCTTCCTCCAGCCCCTCCCCCAATAACACACGGCCTTCCCCAGCCCCCTCCCTAATAATACATCCCCATTATCCCCCCCATTACTCTATTGCAGTCCCATTATATATCCCTTGGATCCCTCTCCCCCAGCGTCACCCCTATAATGTCTCCCCTCAGGACCCTTCCCCCATAATACAGCCCACCCCCTGCAATTCTACAGTGACTCGGAGCCATTCTGGGTTGCTTGGTAAACTGGGCACAAGCCAACAGTGTGTGGGGGTGTTTGGTTTTTTTTTTTTTTTAAACATGCCTAAATGTCAATGGAGACACCTCGGCACTAAGCCTGTTGGCCGTACTGACAGGCTAGAGGGCTCTCGCTCTGTGATTCTGAAAAAGATCCGGAGGTCGTGGTGGATAATCAGCAGAACAGGAGCTCCCCGTGCGACGCCCGGGCCGAAAGGGCTCATGCGATCCTGGGCTGTATAAACAGGGGAATCTCGCGTAGGAGCAGAGAAATTCTTTTCCCCTCTGTGTTTGGCCCTGGTGCGACCGCTGCTGGGATCCTGTGTCCGGTTCTGGTGCCCACCATTCAAGGAGGATGTTGATGAATTGGAGGGGGGTCAGAGAAGAGTCACGAGAATGATCAGGGGGTTAGAAAACCTGCTTGGTAGTGAGAGACTCACGGAGCTCGATCTCTTTAGCTTAACTAAAGAAGATGAGCTGGTGACTGGATCCCAGGCTATCGACACCTGCTCAGGGAACAAATATTTAATCAAGGTCCCTTCAGTCTGTCAGAGAAAGGCCCAACACAAGCCAACGGCTGGGAGTTGACGCAGGACGCATTCAGACTGAAAGAAGGCGTTCGTTTTTAACAGGGAGGGTAATTAACCACTGGAGCAACTGACCGAGGGGTGCGGTGGATTCTCCAGCACTGGCCGTTTTAACGTGCCGACAGGATGTTTTGCTAACAGGGAATTATTCCGGGGCAAGTCTCTGGCCCATGCTGTCCAAGGGGGTCAGATTAGATGATCACAATGGGCCCTTCTGAGTTTATAACTTTATTCCTACGCTCCCCCACCCCTCAAGTTCCCCTCCCCCAGGTAAGACATGCCCAGCGTCCCTCTCCTCCCAACGCCCCCAGTTAGGCGCCCCCAGGGCAGCCTTCTGTTTCTCCCACCCCAGTTCTCCTATTGTGCACCTTCTCCCCCCCCATCCATCACACCATCCCATCTCTGTCCTGGGCCTCCCCTCTCCACCCCACCACCTCACGCGCTCTGCTCTCTCTCCGCTCCAGGGCACCTTCTCCCTCATCATCGAGACGTGGAGAGCCGAAGCGGGCGAGCCGTCCACAGGTGAGAGATACCCCAGCCGCCACCAGGGGGTGCTGCGGGGGTGGGGTGTGTGGGCAGCCCCATCTTTTTGGAGAACTTTGTTTTGGGGGGCCACCCCAGGCTCACACAGAACCTACACCCTGACTGATGGGACACCCCCTCTCCCGGGTCTGCCCTCCCCACCCCCAACTCACTAGGGCCAGATGATGCCAACGCTGGCCCCTTGGCACATCACATCATAAGCCCCTATGGCTCCCCCCCACATTGTGAGTCTGACTCCCTAAGGGACAGCAGGGACCCCCTCCGCCAGAGAAGCAGGGTGGCAGTGGGGGGTCCCAGTACTTACCTCTGCAACCAGGATGTGTCTGCTTGGTGGGGTAGGGGGAGGCGCTGGACCTGATGCACTGTGCCCCTCCTGCCCCAGGCAGAGCTCCCTGCTGGGGTGAGGCTCGCAGGGTGAAGTAATGGGGCTGGCAATAAAAAGCCCACTCAGATTGCTTGAGGCAGCTGTCCTCTCACAGAGCAACAGGTTCAGGCTCTCTGCAGACTCAGACAGTGTCACTGCTTTGGTTACCCCAGACCCCGTTCTTCCCAATCACGAGGGCTAGAGAATTTCTTCTTTGAAGCATGGAGCCGGGGATCTTGCTGGGATCATGTGACTGCTGGAACTGGGACCCACCAGGGACCCACCAGGCCTGTTGTGTGCACATGCCTTAAACCGGCCCTGCAACCCACCCCAACTCCTCCACTCCAGCCAGCTCCTGTGCTCCTCCCTCCTCCAAAGATGTGGAGTTTGAAGCCTTCTGGGACTGTCCCGGGGCAGCCCAGCCCGACACGCCCACTCCTGGGCGGCTCGAGCTCACACACGGCAGCCCCAGCCCCATGTGGGCAGGCCGAACGGGCAGGGTGCAGTGTGCTCGGGCCATGCCCCTGCCTTGTCCCCACATGCACCCCTGGAACAGCCCTACACTGGCACTTTGCCCCCTTACCGCCCGTGCCCCCCCAGGACGGGCACCCACCAGCCCATCTCTCCCATGCTGCCCATATCTACCAGCATGTCAGCTCCATGCCCCTGGCCTCCCCCGGGATGGGCACCCACTAGCCCTTTGCCCCCGTGTCGACTGGCATCCACCCAGATGTCGACCCTGTACCGTCCACTTCCCCCAGGGTGGCCCCCACCCTCTTCTGCATCCCTGTGACGCCGGCGTAGAGGGCTGGGGCCTGGATCCAAACTTCCCCTCAGCCTGAGGGTGCCCGGCAGCAGGGTTTGGGATTCGGGCACCAGGCCATGCCATTCCCAGTCACCCCCCATCTCCACCCACTCCCAGCTGAAGTACACAGTAGCGGAGCAAGGCTCAGCCCTAGGGAATTGTGGGATTTCTTTTGGGAGGGGGGGAATAGCAAACCTGGGGAGGGGGCAGGGAGCAGGCGCTTCCCTGGGTGGGATTGAGCAGCTGTAGCCAGGATGCAGGGATGGGGAGGAAATTCCTGGGACATCCCCCACCCCAATTCCCTTACAGCCTTCAGCTCCGGGTCCCTGGCTCCAGGAGGCGGAAGTGGAGACACCGATATCCATGATGGGTACTAGAGCCAGCAGGGGTGAGGGAAAGCAGCTGATGGAGACACTGGGTGCTAGTGATCAGGGGAGGGTTGGGGGGGGATGGACCATGTCAGCCCCTGGGGGCATGGGGAGAATTCCAGAGGTGGGGGGCAGAGGAGCTGGGTGCTGGGGGTGGGGGGGATCCCAGCTGGGGATGGGGACAGAGGAGACGGGGGGGATCCCAGTGCAGGATGGGGGGCAGAGGAGCTGGGTACTGGAGGGGGGCGGATCCCAGTGCAGGGTGGGGGGCAGAGGTGCCGGGGGTGAGTGGGGGATGCCAGCGGGGGGTGGGGGCAGAGGATCCTGGTGTCAGGAGGGTGGTGATCCCAGTGAGGGGGTCACACCGCTGGGTGCTGGGGAGAGGAACCATCCCCTGCCCTTCCACACAAACCCTGTTGCTGGGGCTGGAGCATTCGATCCTCTTTGTACCGGATCCTGTAGCAAGGGGAGGATGGGTGGGGGGTCGACTGGGCAGGGGCAGGGTGGGGATGGGTAGTGGGGGGGGGGGGGAAGGCTGGTTGGGGGAGGAATGGGTGGTGGTGAGGTCTGGGGGTGGGTAGTTGGCTGGGTGACAGGTGGGAAGGGATGGTGTGTGTGTGGGGGGGAGTCTGGCTGGAAGCGGGGTGGGGCTAGGATGGTGCATATGGGGGAGTCCGTCTGGAAGGGGGGAAGAAGGTGGGGCTGGGTTGGCACTGGGTGGGGGTGGCTGGCTGGGGGAGGGGTGGGGCCCCCAGCTGCGGGGGGGCAGGGGCCCAGTGGTCATGCTGTGTGGCTGGAGCAGGCTGGGTGTGAGGAGCCAAGGCGCAGGCGGGGCAAGTGCTGGCTGGTTGGACGCTTTGGGGGGAGGAGCAACCCCCTTAATTCCCCCCATCCCCTCCCCCGATGCAGGACTCTGGTCTGAGATGAGGGGCCAAAGCTGCAGGCTCCAGGACAGGGTGTGTGTGTGGGGGGGAGGGGGGCTCTGACTTGGGGGGAGAACTGCTGAGGGGAGGGGGTGGGGAGTGGCAGAATGCTGGGAGTGGGGGGGGGGTCCCAGAGGGATGGAGAGGGGAATATGGGGGGGAAGGGAATGGGGTCCCAGGGTGGAATATGGGGGGGGAGGAGAAGGGAATGGGGGTCCCAGGGGATGGGTAGGGGGAATAAAGGGGGGAGGGAATGAGGGTTCTGGTGGGGATGAGGCAGGGAATATGGGGTGCAGGAGGCCATGGGAGTGCAGGGGGAAGGAAGGGGCACTCTAGGGTGGGTTGAATGGGGAGGACAACATGGAGGAAGGGTCTGACACTCCTGGGGTACCCAGGGCTGTGAGGCACCTCGCCACCACCTGCCCTTAGCATGAGGAACTCCTGCCTGGGCCTGGCGGGGCTCTGCTCCCCAGCTTCCTTGGCTTGGGGAACACAAGCGCTCCCCTCCCAGCCTAGGCAGGCCCTGCTGGCCCTCTGCACGTTACCAGCAGCCCCCCACACCATGAGCATCCCCCTGGAGCACCCGGCCCCTGCTCCACCTGGCACTCGCCACATTCACAGCCCTGCTGCTCCCAAAGGAACAGCCCAGCCCGGCTTCCCGGATCCACCTCAGCTCCCTGCACCCTGAACCCCCAGGCCTTAGCCACGTTCAGAGGGAATTCAGGTGTATCTCGCAGAGACCAGAGCTTCAAGTAACAGCAGGGAGGTAGAATGATTGGACACAATGAGTTACGTCCACACCAGAACTAGAGCCCAGACTGCAGTTACCAGACACTCACCTCTCTCCAGAGACCAGCTCCCCCCATGTCCTTCCCCCCAGCCTCTTACAGCCAGGCCGGCTGGCACCCTCCATTCCTAAGACAAACCTGTTGGCAGCTTGGTTCCTGGGTGTCTCTCCGCATTCTCCAGGCTTCTTCTTTGATCTTAGTCATAAACAGGACCCGCCCCCCACCGCGAGGCCGTGCGGGCCTGTAGATCTTGTTCTCTCTTGGCGACTTTGTGGTCTCGATTAGCTGGACGCGCCGTGTGCAGAGAGACTCCCGTTGTAAGACACGCAATACACAATGGTCAGTCGGGGCAAGAGAAGCGTCTCCTACCCTGCCTGCCTGCCCAGAACCTGTGTATCACCTGGTGGCCTGGTCTAACCTACACACCTTAGAACGTATAGATACATAACTCCTTAAATATCGTCCGTACATACGTCACGGGCTGGGTAGGACGATGTCGTTGGAGACCTCACATGCCCCACCTTTGGTGCGCTATTATGTAGACCTCAGACCTAGTGGTCCCTGTAAACCCCTCTGCCTCCCTTGGGCCCTTTGCCAATGGCCATCAGGCGGTCCCTGGGCCGCAAAGGGATTCATAGATTCTAAAGACACAAGGGGCCACTTGGATAATTTCATCGGCTTTCCTGTCGAAAGCCGGCCACAGGACTGCCCTGCGTTAATTCCTGGTGGCGCGATAGGGGGAGAAAAGAAACATCCCATCTGGGTTTAAAAATTGTCCGGAACGGAGAATCCACCATGACTCGGGGTGAGTTGTTCCAAAGGTTGGCTGCCTTCGCCGTTAAAAATGCACGCCTTATCGCCCACCTGGATCTGCCCGGCTTCCATGTCCAACCCCCGGGCCCTGTTAGACCTCCCTGCGCTGGACTGAGGTGCCCCTTATCAACGTGTTCCCAGGTAGGTACTGATCACCTAGCATCCAGTCACCCCTGAACCTTCTCTTTGTTCAGTTAAATAGCTTGAGCTCTTTGAATCTCGCACACAAGGCAGGTGTTCTAACCCTCTGATCATTCTTGTGACTCTTCTCCGACCCCTCTCCAATTTTGAATTGTGGGCTCCAGAACTGGACGCAAGATTCCAGCAGCGGTCGCACCAAGGCCAACTACAGAGGGGGAAATAAACTCTTTGCTCCTGCTTGAGATTCCCCTGTTGATGCATCCCAGGGTCACACTAGCCCTTTTGGCCACAGCGTCACGCTGGGAACTCGTGTTTTGTATCCAACACAACTCCCAGGTCTTTCTCAGAGTCACAGCTTCCCAGGATGGAGTTCCCCATCATGTAAGTATGCCCTGCATTCTTTGTTCCACAATAAATCACCTTACGTTTAGCTGTATTAAAACACATTTTGTTTGCTTGCGCCCAGTTTACCAGGTGCTCCAGATTGCTCTGTATTGGTGACCTGTCCTCTACTTTATTTACCACTCCCTCGATCTTCATCATCTGCAACTTCATCAGTGATAATTTTATGTTTCCTTCCAGGTCATTGTTAAAAATATCCAATAGTGAAGGGCCAAGAACTCATCCCTGCAGGACCCCACTAGAAACAGACCCGCTTGATGACTGTTCCCTATTTACAGTTACCTTTTGAGACCTGTCACTTAGCCAGCAATTAATCCATATAACGTGGGCCGTATTAATTTTGTATCTTTCTAATTTTTAATAAAGATGTTGTGT